TCTAATATATAGAAAAATATAAAGATTCCACACACACAAAAAAACTGTTAGAACTAATAAACTAATTCAGCAAAGTTGTAAGATATGAAATCAATACATACAAATCAGGTATGACAGGTTTAATATTGCTAAGATGTCAATACTACTAGACATTTATACACTGAAGAATAAATCCAAAGAAAATGACCAAAGAAACACACTAACATATAAATACAAAACATCCCTAATAGAGGAAAAAAATATATGAACTTCGTTCAATTTGCTGAATAAAAAATCTATATAATAGGGATGCCTGGGTGGCTCAGCAGTTAGGCATCTGTCTTTGGCTCAGAGTGTGATCCTGAGTCTGGGGTTGGGTCCACATCGGGCTCCCCATAGGGAGGCTGCTTCTCCCTCTGCCTATGTCTCTGCCTCTCTCTCAGTGTCTCTCATGAATAAATAAAATATTTTTTTCAAAAAATCTATATAATAAAATACTTTGAAATTATCAAAATTATGACAGGTTTTTATAACAGTTTTGATTCTCATAGCATATAATTCATACGTTTAGAATGCATAAATCAATGGTTTTTAGTTATTCACAGAGTTGTGCCACCATCACCACTATGTATCTTAGAACATTTTCATCACCCCAAAAAGAAACTATATTCATTAGCAGTAACTACTCATTTTCCACTAACTTCCCCCAACCAAGCCCTAAGCAACTATTAATCTTTCTGTCTTTAAAAATATGCCTAGTCTAGATGTTTCATATTAATGGAATCATACCATATATAGTCTTTTTAATTTTATTTTTTAGTGTAGAATGTCTGGGAAGTTACAATTATCTACCTATCTCCAGTATAATTAACGTACAGTGTTATATTAGTTTCAGATGTACAATAGAGTGATTAAACAAATCTATACATTACTCAGTGCTCATCATGATAAGGTACTTTTAATCTCTTTTACCTGCCCAACCACCTACCTCCCCTCTGGTAACCACCAGTTTGTTCTATATATCTAAGGGTCTAGGGGTGCCTGGGTGGCTCAGTTGGTTAAGTGTCTGCCTTCAGCTCAGGTCATGATCCCAAGGTCCTAGGGTTGAGCCCAGTGTCAGGCTCTCTTCTCAGCAGGGAAATCTGCTTCTCCCTCTCCCTCTGCCCCTGCTCCTGTGCGCTCTCTCTCTCTCTCTGGCATAAATAATTTAAAAATATTTTTAAAGTGCCTGTTTTTTATCTTTTTTTCTTTTTTCATTTGCTTTGTTTCTTTTTTTATTTATTTTTCATGAGAGACACAGAGAGAGGCAAAGACATAGGCAGAGGGAGAAACAGGTTCCCCGAGGGAAGCCCAATGTGGGACTCTGGGATTACGCCCTGAGTTGAAGGCAGACGCTCAGCCACTGAGCCACCCAGGCGTCCCATTTGCTTTGTTTCTTAAATTCCACATATGAGTGAAATCATGATATTTAGTCTTTTCTGATTGGTTTCTTTTATCATTTTCTACAGTGCCTTCACCATTTCACATTTCCACCATCAGTGTGTGATTGTTCCAATTTCTCTACATATTTGTCAACACCTATTATCTGTCTTTTTCTAAGTATGAAGTGTTATTTCCTTGTGGTTTTGATTTGCATTTCCCTGATGGCTACTGAGACTGAACATCATGCTTATTGACCATTTGTAAATTTTCTTTGCATAAATATCTATTTAGATCCTTTGCCCATTTCAAAATTGTGTTGATGGGCACTTAGGATGTTGCCATATCTTGGCTATTTTGAATAATACTGTAATAAACAAGTGTGTGCAGATATATCTTTAATATCTTTTCATTTTCTTTAGGTATATACACAGAAATGGAATTGCTAGATCATATGGTAGATCTATTTTTAATTTTTTAGAAAATATTTGAGGAACCACCACATTGTTTTCCATGGTGGCTTAACCAATTTACATTTCCATCAACAGAGTACAAGGATTTTCTTTTCTCCACATCCTCAACAACACTTACCTATCTTCCTGATGATAGCCATTGTAACAGGTGTGAGGTGATATCTCACTGTGGTTTTGATTTGCATTTCCATGACAGTGATGCTGAGCATCTTTTCATGTATCTGTTGGCCATTTGGGCATTTTCTTTGGGAAAATGTCTAATTTCCTTTGTCCATTTTTATTTTTTTAAAGATTTTATTTATTTATTTATTTGAGAGCAAGAGAGAGCACACAAGCAGGGGGAGTGGCAAGCAGAAGGAGAGGGAGAAGCAGGGTCCCTCCTCAGCAGGGAGCCCGATGTGGGGCTCAATTCCAGGACCCTGGGATCATAACCTGAGCCAAAGGCAGACACTTAACAGACTGAGCCACCCAGATGACCCACTCTGTCCATTTTTAAATAGGTTTGTTGGAGTTTCTTTGGTTTTGAATTGTATGAGTTCTTTATATTATTCAGATATTATCCCCCTTTTTTTCTCATTCTATAGGTTGTCTTTTTTTTACGCTTTTATTTATTCATGAAAGACACAGAGAGAGAGGCAGAGACATAGGCAAAGGGAGAAGCAGGCTCCCTGCAGGGAGCCTGATGCTGGACTCCATCCCAGGACCCCAGGACCCCAGGATCACGACCTCAGCCAAAGGCAGACACTCAACCACTGAGCCACCCAGGTGCCCAGAAATATTACCTATCTTAACAATATTAAGTCTTCCAATCTATGAACATAAGATGTCATTCCATTTATTTAAGTATTCTTTAATTTCTTTGAACAGTATTTTATAGTTTTCAATGTACAAGTCTTAGACTTTTAAATAAATTTATTTCTAAGTGTTTTATTTGTTTTGATGCTATTTTAAATGGAAACATTTTCTTACCTTCCATTTCAAATTTTTACTGCTAGCATATAGAAATGCAATTGATACTTATATATTGACCTGAACTCATTTATTAGTTCTCATAGCTCTTTAGTGGATTTTTTGGGATTTTTTATATATAAGGTCATGTCATCTGCAAATAAAGGAAGCTTTATTTCTTTCCCTTACAATCTGGATGCCTTTTATTTCATTGTACTTACTTATAAGTACTTGATTATGTCAGAAAATAAGAATCTTCATTTTTTAACTATTTAATTATACAAATATAATTTCCATAATAACCTATTTTTCACTACTGACCAGAGATGGATCCTTATCACATAATAAATACTTTTATACTTGGGTATGTTAGTGGGATCTCTGTGTTTTATTCCTCCTGCTATGCTTATTCCAATACCACATTGAGTTTAGCTTGTAGCTTTATAAATCATTCTGCTTCCTTGAAGTGTGAGTTCCTTTATCAGGTATAAATGAAATCCACACTAGGTAAGATAAGGTAGCCAACACAGTGCCTGGCACTTAGGTGGTATTCTCTAGAGGGCAATACCACATCCTGTGGTTATCCTTTGTGTCCCACCACCCATGGTAATTGTGATTTATAAATAGTTAATAATTTTTACTGTGTATCTAGAGCCCAACATTTTAATTATTTTTCTTAACCAAACATCCAAGGATAACCAGGGTAAACAATGTATTAAGAAGATATGTAACTAAATCTGTTCTGATGGAGAATTGTGATATTCCATTTTTCCATTACATACAAAGCCTACATAATTGATACTATATTCCCAGTTCCAGCAAAGAATAAACACATAACAAACAGTTATTATGGGAATTTTAAAAATATAAAGCATTTTTAAAACATAAGATTATTTTTAGCACATTATTAATTCTCTCCATGGGTAAATATTAGAAGTGGAAATACTGAACCAAAATGTCATATTTATTTTAAAACAATTTACCAGCTTACTTTTCAGAACATTTTTTTTACCATACCACTCAAGAGCAGGAAAGAGTGCATATGTCCCCAACCCCTTAAGAAATCAGTATGCATTTTCAGATAGATCAATGGTTTTCCTTAATTGTTCATGTCTTTGTTATCTTATTTTTAAAGGCCTTCTACACAAAAAGCTTAAGTGGAAACAGAGACTACTTATTCAGAACTTGTTATAACAAGGCAGTCAGCCACCATTACTTTTATTTGGCAGAGACTGGAAGTCTCTAGGGAGTGGAAAAACTTTAGCTCAAACAAAAGAGAAGACTAAGTATTATTCTCGGATTGGAGATTGTTGGCATAGGGTTGCTAGAAGCAGGCTAAGAGGACATCTTATGTGATTGGTTTGGGGAGCATATGTGGATTTCTCTTGTTGAGAGGGGTTCAAAAAATAGGGAGGTTGTCAATCGTTGATCAGAGGTTGTGGTTTGGCTTCCTGAAGAGCTGCTTGCTGCAGAGGTTGCGGTTCTCAGTTCTATTGTCATGTACGATCAGGTCATTGTCTGTTGTATATTTAGTCTCTCACTTAGAAAAAAAATTGTTCTTTTATTCTGCTTCAAATATAATTTTATTTTTAGATTTCAATAATTAGAAAATGTATGTGCGCATGTCAGGAAAAAGGAATAATTTCATTTTGAGGGGAACAGTTTCCTAATTTTTTTCTAAAGTGCAATATTCTGGGCACGTGGGTGGCTCTGTCGGTTGAGCCTCAGACTCTTGATTTCCCCTCAGGTCAGGATCTCAGGGTCCTGGGATGGAGCCCGGTAGGGGCTCCGAGCTCAACTGGGAGTCGCTGGATGCCCCTCCCCCCTTTATTTCTCTAAAATAAAAAAATAAATCTTTAGAAAATAAAAGTGCAATATTCAATGTACGACATTAAAGTTCACATTCATACGATTTCATTGGCTGGCTCTAGTTCTTTCAATGGAAATTAAGAGCAACATGGTCAAGACTCCTCCCCCGCACCGCTCAAGCCATTAAAAAAGCCTCTGAGGTTTTTATTAAATTTATTCCTTGGACCACCTCAAGAAGAGAAAAAGGACAAAACTGCCCAAAGAGGTGAGAAGGAAAGCGCTGCAGAGAAAGGCGGGGTGACCCGCAACGCCCCCCGCCCCGCTGCTGGGCGGGGCGGCAGGGGGGAGGGGGGCGAGCTCCGGTGACGCGACGCTCACGTGACCAACCCGGCGCAGATCTGGGCACCAGTCCGGGAGCCCGCCCTCTTCCTTGCGGTCGGATCCGGAGCGGTTTGCTAGCTCTTAATTGTTGCCCCAGGTTCTTTCAGGTCAGTGTGAGGGCCTTCGTCGCTGCCTGCGGAACCCTGGACTGGGGGGGAGGGGGTGAGGCACGGACACGGAGAAGAAAAAGGGTGGGAATGGGGTCCGTGTTGAGGGAAGCTGGCGAGAGTGTAGGTAGAGATGGCGGTGGGAAAATGGCTAAAGGGTGAGCTAGCGACCAATCGGCGGAGGGTCGGAAGAGCGGACACCCCTAGTACCCGTGTCCCCTTTCTCCTCACCTCCTCGCTGCCCTCCGTCCATTTTGGAGTCGGAGCTGGTGAGCTTGGGGGCGCCCCGCCAGTGAGACAGTAAAAATAAACCCCCTTTCCACTCCATGCGTAGAGAAAAAAAAGTTGACCTCGGGAGTGGGGAGGCGAGTTGCCTCCGGGGAAGAAGGACACAGAGATCCAAAATTAGTTTGGAAAACATCCTGGTCTGGCGCCGGAGGCGTGAAAAGAAATGGCGGCTGGGGTGTGGGGGGCGGAGGAGGTGGGGGAGGGAAACGTTGGATGAAAAGGGCCGGGATTCTGGGAAGGGGCTCTGAGTCCCTGTGCATCCACCCGAATGCGCAGCCCCTGTGTCCTGTCTTATCTGCAGGTCTGCGTGTCTGTTCTTAGCACTCTGCAAGGCTAGAAAAGGGCGAATCTGTTCAGAATTCCTGCAGGTCAGTGAAGAAAGGGGTCTCTGGGCAGGGATCCAGGGGGATGGGGAGTGTGGAGGGTAGAGCACCAGCAGAATATGGGGCACCACTGCCCACCTCCTAACACATTTATACACGCTGCTGTGCTGAACAAGCATAGAGAAAATGGCTGGGCTTGCCAGAGAAATGGTTGGCTCATGTGTGTGAGGGGAGAGGGTGGGCAGAAGGCACACGGAAAGGCCGGCCCAGGTCAGGGGAACCCTGACAAGGGGAAAGATGCCAGTACTATCCAGACCTGCATTCCCCCCCCCAAGCCCTGTTTCCTTGTCTCCTCTTTGTCTCCTCTTCCTCCCCACCCTAGGACAGGAAAAGGAGGGGAAATCTCAACATGGAAAAACTCTGCAATGAAAATGAAGGAATGACTGAGAACCAAGGAAAGATGGAATACAAAGAACAGCCACAGGATGTGGAAGAGCCCGAAGTAGATCGTACTCTGGAAGACCAGGAAAAGTTAGAAAATGAGAGAAAGACAGAAGATGAGGAAATACTAAAGGATAAAGAAAAGTCAGAAAGTATGACAAAGCCAAAGGATGGAAAGCCAGCGGAGAGCGAGGGAAAGCCAGCGGAGAGCGAGGGAAAGCCAGCGGAGAGCGAGGGAAGCCAGCGGAGAGCGAGGGGAAGCCAGCGGAGAGCGAGGGGAAGCCAGCGGAGAGCGAGGGGAAGCCAGCGGAGAGCGAGGGGAAGCCAGCGGAGAGCGAGGGGAAGCCAAAAGAAGAAGGAAAACCAGTGAGTGAGGGAAAGCAAAAAGAAGGAAAGCTAGTGAGTGAGGGAAAGCCAAAAGAAGAAAACTTAGAGAGTGAGGGAAAGCCAGTGAATGAGGAAAAGCCAAAAGAAGAAAAGCCAGCCATGGAACCAAGGGCTGCAGGAAAGCGCCCAGCTGGGGATGATGTACCCAGGAAGGCCAAAAGAAAAACCAACAAGGGGCTGGCTCAGTGCCTCAAGGAATATAAGGAGGCCATACACGATATGCATTTGAGCAATGAGGAGATGATAAGAGAATTTGATGAGATGGCCAGGGTAGAGGATGAGGTGAAGAAAACCAGACAGAAATTGGGGGGGTTTATGTGGATGCAAAAAAGTTTACAGGACCCCTTCCACCCGAGGGGCCCAAGGGAACTGAGGGGTGGGTGCAGGGCCCCACAGAGGGGCTTTGAAGACATTCCTTTTGTGTAGTGCCCTTGGCAGGCATTTGCCCTGTGCTTTAACCTTATGCTAATACTTGCTTTAGCTATCACTCTGTTATCCAACTGCAACCCTTGATGTTTCAGTAGATTTTTGTCCAATGCATGGAAAAATGTTTATGGCATATTGTAAAATTAAAAAGAAGAGTTTGATGAACCATATATATGGCATCAGTCCATTTTTGTAAACTACAAAGGTATTTACTTAGTGATTTATGTACAGAGGAAAACTGAAAGCTGTGTCCTGGTTATCTGTGGCTGATTTTTTTTTCTGTTCTTTTTTGCTCATTGTATATTTTCTCCTAAAAAACCTAGATTACTTTCATTATGAAAACAATATATACCAAGCAATCAAAATAACTGTTCGTTTTAGCTTATGAATACAGTGGAGACACCAAAAATCCTTGGTCAGGATATAAAATGTTTTGTAAAATTCATGTTTGAGACTGGAAGCTGGAAGACTCAACCTGGCCGTTACTACAGATCCATTGCTGTAAGTCTTGTCATCTTATCAAATGGGATAATACTTGCCTTCCAGGGCTGTAGAGAAGATCAGACGAGGTAATAATAGGAGCTGTGTTGATCTGGCTCCAACCCTTCGCCTTGCAGTAGCAGAACCAGAACTCTGTTAATTTGGGGAAGCTATAAAAGACATCTCACTTGTGTCCAGGAGTAAGTCAGATAAAAAGTGGGTATCACTGTCCCCAGGGTAATGCCATGTCTCTTGGGCACTGTGCTCCTTCTCAGGGGCTCTGTACCCTCCTGAAGCCCCAGCTGCTACTGGTGGGCTGGAGACCACAATGGACTAAAGCAACGGTGTCTCAACAGAAAGATGGAGAATTCTCTACCTACAGCAGTTATCCTAACTCAGGTGGGTATTACCCGACTGTCATAGAGCCTTGATATTTTATAAAGTTTTTAGAAAACATTCCTTTCCAGACTTTTTGTTGATTTGTGTGTGCTTTTGCATATAGCCATCTCCACTGGATTTCGATACTGGAGATTGAGCCAGAAAAATCTGACCAGATGCTGTGCTGTTCTCACCTATTAATCTCTTGTCTACTGATACTTCTCTTAGGAGGAATTGTCTCAAGAAGTTTGTGTTAAGCCCTGCCTTACCATTTCAACAGATCCATCTATCTATGTGATCCCTGCCCCACCTCCAACTCTTCATTAGCCTTTTACTTTTAGTGTTTTGTAAATAAACTTTCATTTTAGGAGTTATAGATTTACAGAATTATTGCAATAATAGTACAGAATTTCTGTATACTTCATACCCAGTATCCTCTATTCACATCTTATGTTAGTATGGTGCATTTGTTACAATGAACCAATATTGATACATCTTATTTAATGTCCTTTTTCTGTTCTAGGATCCTATACAGGTTACCACCTTACATTTAGTCATCTTGTCCATAGGCTCCTCTTGGCTGTGACAGTTTCTCAGACTTTCCTTGTTTTTGATGCCCTTGACACTTATGAGAAGTACTGGTCAGGCATTTTGTATAATGTCCCACAGTTTTGGTTTGCTTGATTTTTTTCTTGTGGTTACATAGGCATTAAATGCTTTTTGGGAAGAACACCAGGAAGGAAGTGCCATACTCACCACATCATGTAAAGGGTACATGTTACAGGGTGCATGGCTGGCGTAGTAAAAAAATATGAAATTCTTGATCTCGAGGTCGTGAGTTCAAGCCCAATGTTGGGTGTTTTAAAAAAAAGTACATACTATCAAAACTATCAATATTACACTGTTGATGTTAACTTTCATCACCTGGGTGAGGTAGTTTTAGGATTCTCCATGGCAAAATTACTCTTATTTCTCCCTTTCCATACTGTACTCTTTAGAAGAAAGTCACTGCATAGTCCACACTTAAGGACTGAGTGATGTTAGGTTACACCTACCTGAGGGTGAAGTATCTACAGATTTATTTGTAATTTATAAAATATTTGACTATTCTCCCACCTATTAATGTATTTATATCAGTATGGACTCTTTTTAAAAAAGGTTTTATTTTAATTCTAGTTAACATACAGCATAATATTAGTTCAGGTGTACAAATATAGTGATTGAACAGTTTGATACATCATGCTGTGCTCATCATGACAAATGCACTCTTTAATCCCCATCACCTATTTCACTCATCCCTACAGCACCCTCCCCTCTGGTAACCATTAGATTGTTCTCTATAATTAAAAGTCTGTTTCTTGCTATGTCTCTTATTTTTTTGGTTTCTTAAGTTCCAAATATGAGTGAAAGCATATGGTATTTGTCTCTGACTGACTTATTTCACTTAGCATTATACTCTAGGTGCAAATGGCAAGATTTTATTGTTTTTTATGGCTAAATAATATTCCACTGTCCCTCAAAAAGTTAAAAATATAACTACCTTATGGTCCAGTAATCAGTATTTTATAATTTTGTATTATAATCTAATACTACACATATTTTCCAACTTTGGCCATTGGGAGCTCTTTCACTTGGCTCTTGTGTTTATTTAATGTACCTCCTTCCATCACTGTGTGTGTTCATGTGTGCCCATATATGTGAGTGTTTTAACACTTTCTGGCACTACGGAGATGGTGTAGTCCTGTATATTTTCTGTCCAAGCCATTTCTCCAAGGGGCCTTGATACCTTTGGTTAGAGAATGGTATCAAAACCAAGATCTGGGTGCCAAGAGTACTCATTACTATTGGGTATCATTGCTTCTAGGCCCTCGCAGCTGACAGAGCAAAGAGATCTGTTAATAAGAAATAACCCATATGTATAGATGCATGTTTATATATGTTTCCATCTTTATTTATAAAAATAAAGATGGAAACATAAATTTCCCTTAGTTTTATAGACTCCACTCACCTACAAAGTTATCTGTGTCAACACCTTATTCCCCCATCCCTTTCAGTGGGGTTGTTTCATACATTTGTAATACACTTAGTTTCTGTAGGCACATTCTGCATTTTGAGAGTGCTGTAATTTATGGTATCTTTAAATTTAAAATTCCAGTTGTTCATTGGCCAGTATATAGGAAAGCAATTGACTTCTGAATACTTCTGTATATTAGTTTTACAGCTTTACAGACCTTGTAGCCAGTTTGTCAGTGCTGTGGCATTTCTACATAGACCATCATGTCATCTGTAAAGAGACAGTATTATTTCCTCCATTCCTATCTGTATATGTTTTAGTTCCTTTTTGTGTTACTGCACTAGCTAAGACTTCCAGGATGATGTTTAATAGGAGCAATGAGAAAAGAGTACCTAGCCTTGTTCCTGATATTAGAGTGAAGTGTTCTCCTCACCATTAAGTATGATGTTATAGATTTCTTATAGATACTCAAATTGAGGTGTTCCCTTCTGAGAACCTTTATGATAAATGGATGTTGGATTCTGTCATATACTTTTCCTGTATCAAGATCATATATCTTATTTAGCCTGTGTTTGTGGTGGATTATACTAATTGATTTTCAAATGTTAAATCAGTTTTGCATGCCTACAATAAATTCCACTTTTTAGGTACATAATTTTTAAAACATTGTTGCATTCAATTTTCTGATACTTTATTGAGGATTTTGTGTCTGTGTTCATGAGAGATACTGGTCTGTAGTTTTCCTTTCTTGTAATGTCTTCTGTGTGTGTGAATTTACTTCAGAGAGTAAATCAAGCATTCTCTTTACTTCTGTTTTCTTTTTTTTTAAGATTTTATTTAGTTATTCATGAGACACACACAGAGAGGCAGAGACATAGGCAGAGGCAGAAGCAGGCTCCCTGTAAGGAGCCCAGTATGGATCTTGATCCTGGGACCAGGATCATGCCTGAGCCAGAGGCAGATGCTCAACTGCTGAGCCACCCAAGCATCCCTCTCTACTTGTGTTTTATGGAAGACATTGTGGAGAATTGGTATTATTTCTTACTCAGAAGTGTGGTAGAATTCACTGATGACCTCTAAACGTTCACTGGTGATCCTTTAAACTTTGGTAGAATTTTGTCTTGGTTATTTGTATCTTTGGAAGGTTATGGATTATTGATTTAATTTCTTTAATAGATACAGGACTTATTCAGGTTATCTTTTTCTCCTTGTGTGAGTTTTAGCAGTTTGCCTTATTGAAGGGAATTGGTTCATTGTATCTAAGTTATCAAATTTGTAGGCATAGAGTTCATAGAATTTCTTCATTATCTTCTTAATGTTCATGTAATCACTAGTGATAACCTTACTTTCATTTCTGATTTTGTTAATTTGGATCTTTTTTCTTGATTATCCTGGCAAGAGATTTAACAATTTTTTTTAATCTTTTCAAAGAATCACCTTTTGGTTTTGTTTTTTTTTTTCTACTTTCTTCCTTTTTTACTTGTATTGATTCCTAATTATTAATTTCTTTTCTTCTGCATGCACTATGCTTAAAATTACTCTTCTTTGTTTACTTTCCTGAGGAGAAAACTTATGTTAATCAATGTTAGATCTTTTTCATTTTTCTCACATAAGAAATTTCCGTCTAAGCATTGCTTTTTCTACAGCCCCAAAATTTTGATAGGTTATATTTTATTTTTATTTAGTTCAAAATATTTTTGTATTTCTATTGAGACTTCTTCCTTGACTCATGTTTAGAATGTTTAGTTATGTGTTAATTTCCAAATGTTTGTGTTTTTCCATTTTTCTGTTGTTGATTTCTACTTTAATTCTATTGAGAGCATATCTTTAGGATTTCTATTCTTTTAAATTTGTTAAGGTGTATTTAATGGTCCAGAATATGGATTCTTGGTGAATGTTCTCTGTGAACTTGAAATAATCATGTTCTGATATTGGATGGAATGTTCTATAAATGACATTTTAGATCAAATTGATTGATAGTGCTGTTCAGGTCAATATATCCTTGTAGATATTTTGCCTGCCTAATCTGTCAATTACTGACTGGGGGGGTTTGAAGTCTGTAATTCTAATAATAGATTTGTTTCTCCTTTCAGTTTTGTCAGTTTTTGCCTCTTATATTTTGACACTTTTGTTAGATGTATACATATTTAGGATTATTATATGTTTGTTTTTTTTCCAGAATTAATCCCTTTATTATTATGTAGTGCCTTTTTTTTAATCTCTGAAACTTTAATTGTTCTCAAGTCTGCTTTATCTGAAGTTATATAGCTATTCCAGCATTGTTGGTTTTTTTGTTTGTTTTGTAGGCTCTACGCTCACTGTGGGGCTTGAACTCATGGCCCCAAGATCAAGAGCCAAATACTCTACCCACTGAACTCCAGCATCCTTTTTTGTTCATTGTTCTTTTGATTAGTATATATGGTGGTATAAATCTTTCTCCATTGCTTTAGTTATAACCGTTCAAAGTCTTTATTTTTAAAGTGGGCCTTTTGTCCAAAAACGATTTTATTTGATCGTTCTGACCATTTCTGTCTTGAATAGGTCTATTAGGAGCATTCATACTAAAAATGATTTTTGATATATATTTAGATTAATATCAACCATGTTTATAACTTTTCTATTTATTTCCAAGGCTGGCTGCTGCTTCTGCCTTCTCTAGTTTTGAGTATTTTACATGATTCCATTTGTCTTCTCTTAGTGATTCAGTTATATTTCTTTAAAAAAATTTTAGTGATATCCCTCAAGTTTACAATACATAATTTTAACTAGGATCACTTTCAAAGAGCATTCTTCTGCTTCACTGATATGTAGTATAGGTACCTTATTACAGGGTATTCATCATTCATTTCACTTACCCATATGCTATAATCACTATATTGTTAATATTATTATTTTAGACATTTGTCTTTTGTATCATTTAAGCATAAGAAAAAAAATTTCATTGTAGTTTCAGTTATTCCACTTCCACTTCTCTTTATGAATATTGGAGTTGCTGACCTATTTTGAGTTGGTGATCAACTTTCTTCTGCCTGGAGAAAATCATTTAACATTTCTTTAAGGGAAGGTTTGCTAGTCATTAGTTTTTGCTTGTCTGAGAAAATTTTTATTTCTCCACTTTTGAAGGATAATTTTGCTGGTTATAAAAATTTTAATTTGATGGAGTTTTTTCTTTCAACACTTTATTTCTACAGTTGCATAGATAGGACTGTTAATGCTGAAGTGGAAGATTAGTTATTTCTCCTTATAGTTCTGTCGAATTTTGATTTATTTATTTTGAGGTCAATTTCATAAGTGCATACAAATTGTAAAATACCATAAAGTGACACTCCTTAGGTTTTGTAATGTTTTTAACTTTGAAGTCTATTTTGTTGTTTTACCATAATGGATTTTTTGGTTACTGTTTTCATTTTATAATTTTTTTCTATACTTTTACTTTCAGTCTTTATTTTTATATTTGTCTTATAAACAATATAACATTGTGTTTTTTCAGTCTGAAAATCATTGTATGTTAGTTTTCTCTTCTTTAGGATTATTTTATTTTCCCCCTCTGTTTAGAAGTTTTACACTTTTACTCTGCCTTAATGGTTTTCTGGCAATTAGAGCATACAGTCGACTTATCAAAGGCTAATACTAATTCTGTACTTTCATAGACTCCCCTGATAATGCTAGAACTTAATTTTTTAAAGATTATTTATTCATGAGAGACACACTTTTAGAGAGGCAGAGACCTAGGCAGAGGGAGAATCAGGCTCCCTGCTGGAGCCTGATATGGGACTTGATCATAGGACTCCAGGATCACAACGTGAGCCAAAGGCAAATGCTAAACCACTGAGTCACCCAGGTGTTCCATGCCAGAACTTTAAATACTTTTACTCCAGCCCTCTTGACTCATGTTATTTGTTGATATGAATTAACAAGGTATTACTAGTTTTATGTAGTGTATTGATTCAAGTTTGCATACATATTTATCTTTTTAATTGTTGTTTTTCCCTTTCTTATATCCAGTATACTATCTGGGATCATTTTCCTGTTATCTGAAAAATGCCCTTTAGCATTCACTATTTCCTTTGGTTCTTCCCTGCTGATGGAAAGCTCTCATTTTATTTGCAAAGGTCTTTATTTCACCATTAATTTTGAAGGGTATTTATGTTGGTTGTCAATTTTTTTTGGCTGGCAGTTATTTTCTTTCAAGTTACGAAAGATAGCATTCTACTGTCTTCATACCTCCATTGTTGCTATTGAGAAGCCATCAATCAACCTAACTTTTGTTCCTTTCAAGGCATACTCTTATTTTTCTGGCTACTTTTATGATTTTCTTTTTGTCTTTGATTCTCTGCAAGGTCACTATTATGCATCTATGTGCGTTTCTTTTTACTCTGTTTGGGATACCTTGGACTTCATGGATCTATGGATCAGTGTCTTTCATCAGTTCTGAAAAATCCTCAGTTGTATCTTCAAAGGTTGCCTCTGAACACTTCCATTTCTCTTTTCTTTTAGAACTCCAAGTAAACATTTGTTAGATTTTATCATGCCCTCCTATCAGAGTTTTCCATCTTTTTGACTACCTGTGCAGCCGTATAGATAGTTTCATCTGAACATAATTTGTAGTTCTTTAGTTCTCTTTTGAGCTGCATCTAATCTTTAAAGCTATCCATTGAGTTTAATTTCAGCTGAGTTTTTTGTAGTTTTAGAATTCCCATTTTTTTCACTCTTTTCTGATTTTTAGCACCCTGTTGAAATTTTCAAGATTGGATTTTATTTATCTGAATAGACTAAGCATTGTAGTTTAACAATCTGATGATTCAGATAATTCAAAGTTAATGGACCTGTTTGCGTTGACTGTTTTGTCTACTGTTTACTTTTGATGTCTTTTTTATTTGTATTCCTGGTTATCTTTTTGTGTGGGCATTGTACATGAACAGTTGTTTGTTGAAATAATTTGGGGCTTAAGATAATGGACACTTAACTCCAGAGAAGATTTTGTTTGCATTGGTCAGGGTTTATAAGGGTTCTTCCTGTCTGGAAACACCATAATCTATGTTCAAAGTTTAAAGTTTACTAGTTCACCTAGATGTTGCAAGGCCAAAGTAAAAGATTTTGTGAGAGCTAGTTTACTTCCAGTTTATAATTACACTTAAGTTGAAACATTTGAGGTTCCCAGCATCCTCAAATGGTTTTTGGGTGATGGTTTGTTAGGAAATCTCTCCCCTTGTAATGAGTCTTGGGCTTTGATTTGCTGCTTTGAGTCAGCTGTAGATTCAACTCAGTTTGGCATTGGTGTCTTACTTAGCCTCTATTCCTAACCACAGATGCCCTCGGGACAAAATAGTTAACCATATGAATACTACAAGAAAACATGGGTAAATTCCTCTTTGACCTCAAGTAGGAAAAGCATTATTGACTATGAATCAAAATCTAGATGCAATAAAATAAAAGTTTGATGAATTGGACTACTCGTGGGCAGCCCGGGTGGCTCAGCGGTTTAGCGCCGCCTGGGCGAGATCCTGGAGACCCCGGATCCAGCGTCGCGCAGGGAGCGTGGAGCCTGCCTCTCTCTGCCTGTGTCTGTCTCTCTCATAAATAAATACAATCTTAAAAATAAAACTATTAAAAATTTTGACTATTCGTTTTAATGCATGATAGAAATACACTATATACAAAGTAGAAAAGCAACTAACAACCTGGAAGTATTTGTAACATAAAATCCTAATATAGTTAATCTATAAAGAATACTGAAAGATGAGGGGAGAAGGAACAATAACCCAACAAAAATGTGGAAAGACATGAACAATTTACAATGGTATTAAATTTGTCCCAAAAACATGCAAAATAAAATGCCTTTGAGACACTACTACTTACCTATCATGTTAGTGAAAATTAAAAAGTATTCCAACCCATGTTGGGAAAGGTGTGAAGAGACCAGCACTCTCTTATATTGCCAATGGGAAACCAAAAGGGGTCTAGGGCTCAAGGGGAGGGAACATCCTGGCGATGGAGATTTGAGAATCATCTGTGCTTAAAGGGAAATGAACAGAAATCTCTCAGGAGAGAGAATTTGTGGACTGAGGAGAGAGGAGGCCCAGGAACACAGCTACTCAAGGTGGCAGGGCTGCTTCCTGGCCGGCACTACTACCTGGGCTCTGGAGTCAGAACGGGTCTTGAAAGCTGCTTGTGGGACGCAGTTGCTCAGTGCTCCTGGCAAAGTCCCGTACCCTCCCTGTGATCAGCAGTCACATCTGGCAATGACGTGCATCTCAGAGGGATGCTGTACGAGGACCTGCGATGCGCCAGGTAAAGCACCTGCCGTTGGGAAGCCGCCTGGCTCTTCTTGATTCTCTCTTTGCCACCCGACCCCCACCGTGTGTGGTTGCTCATTCCCTTGGGGATGGGGGTGAGGGGGCGGGTTGGGGGACTGAGCTCGGCTGACGCGGCGCTCACGTGACCAGCCGGGCGCCGACGTGGGCAGCAGCCCCCGCTCCCACCCGCTCGCCTGCTCACCCCGCGGTCCTGTCCCTGCTCTGTCCGCTCGCGTCGCCCGTGTGGAACCAGCTACCTGAGCTGCCCGGGCGGCTGACGAGGGGCGAGCGGGCTTCGGCGAGCCCGAGGAGGCGCAGGCCTGCCCGGGCCCGGCAGGTCAGTGTGAAGGTGGGCGCTGCGGGCAACCCTGAGCAAGGGTGGAGGTGGATGGGAGTAGGAACCGGGAGCAGCACGGAGCAGGAAGGGGTCCGGGAGGTTGGTGAGGAGGGGGGGCGCAGCGCAGATGTGGGCAGGTGGGGAGGAGCACCCCATAGCAGGCCCCGCTGCTGCCTCCTCCACGCCCCTCCTCTGCGCCCTCCATCCGTTTTTGGACCTGAAATGGAGGGGGCGCCCTGCGACAGTGAAATGTAGACATATTCTAGAAATAACCCCCCTCACACTGCACCTAAAAGGAAATATTGACCTCAGCGGAAAGGGGGTGGGAGTGGGTGGCTTGCCTGCAGGGGAGGGGGACCCAGACCTAAACAGTTTGGAAAGCATCCTGGTCTGGATCCTGAGGCCTGAAAAGTAATGGCGGCTGGGAGGCAGGGGAGGTAGGAGAGGGAAATGTTCCTTGAGTAGGGCTGATTCAGGAAAGAAACTTCAGTTGGCTGAGTGCACAGGCCCTGCCCCTGTCTCCTGTCTATCGGCAGGTCTGTGTGTCTATCCCCAGCACTCTACAAGGCTAGAAAAGGAGGAGGAACCTATCCAGAATCCCTGCAGGTGAGTGAAAGGGAGGAAGAGCACTGGACAGAAACAGTGTGGGGAGGGTGTAGAAGGCACACCGAATGCAGAATTTGAGGTCCCCACTGCCCATCCTCCATACCACGCTGAAGGATGGTACAGAAGGTGGTAGGGCCTGCCAGGGAAATGGTTGGCTCTCACATGTGGGAGGAATTGTAGGGTAAAAGGTGGGCAGAAGGCATACTTGGATGGCTTGGCCAGGTCAAGAGAACCCAGCCAAGGGAAGGATGCTAGTACTATCAGCACCTGCATTCCACCTCCAAGCCCTCAGTCTCCCTTGTCTCCTTTGTCTTCTCTTCCCCCTCCTACCCCACCCCACCCCACCCCCTAGGACAAGGAAAAGAAGGGGAAATCTCAACATGGAAAAACTCTACAATGAAAATGAAGGAAAGCTGGAAATCAAGGGACAGCCAGAAGATGAAGTAGAGCCTGAAGATGAAGGAAAATCAGATGAGGAAGAAAAGCTGGAAGAGGAAGGGAAGCCAGGGCATGAGGGAAAGCTCCAGAATAAGGGACAGCCAGATGATGAGGGAAAGCAAGAAAAGCAGGGCAAGTCTGAAAATGAGGGAAAACCACATGGTGAGGGCAAGCCAGAATCCCAGGCAAAGCCTGAGGATGAGCCACGGGCTGCCGAAAAGCGCCCAGCTGAAGATTATGTGCCGAGGAAAGCAAAAAGAAAAACGGACAGGGGGACGGACGATTCCCCCAAGGACTATCAGGAGGACTTACAGCTAAAGCACTTGGGAAGTGAGGAGATGATGAGAGAATGTGGAGATATGTCAAGTGCTCAGGAAGAATTAAGGAAAAAACAGAAAATGGGTGGTTTTCATTGGATGCAAAGAGATGTACAGGATCCGTTTGCCCCAAGGGGGCAACGAGGTGTCAGGGGGGTGAGGGGCGGAGGTAGAGGCCAAAGGGGTTTACATGATATCCCATATCTTTAATGCCTTTGGCCTTCAATTCTAACTTCTCTAATGAGAATATTGCTGACCCTGCTTTCCCTGGCAGGCATTTGCCAGGCTATGTGCTTTAACCTTAAGCTGATACTTTGCTTTAGGTGTCACTTTTGTTACCAGCAGCCTTTTGATCCAATTACAGTGTTCTCTGTCTTTCAGTAAGGGATTTTAACCCATGTGCATGGAAGAAATATTCATGGTACACTGTAAAATAACAATAAAAAAGTTTTCAGAACCACATATACAGTATCAGAACATTTTTGTAGAAATATGTTTGCATAATGCATTTGTGCACAGAGAAAGCTCTGAAAATGTATACACTAAAAAGTAAATGATGGTTTTTCCTGTATGGTAGCCAAAAAGGTCTCATTTGTATTCAAACAGGAGTCCAATCACCTGATGATTAGGTACCTCCGTGCCATTCCTCTGAATGTTACTCATTCCCATGCCTCCCCCTAGCTATAACCATGTCAGTGGGCACTGCCACTCCTTCAGAGTCCAATACCATCTTATGGTTCTGTGTGATTCTTTTTATTTGCTTTGCTCACTAACCACTTCTTCCTAAAGGATGGTTGTTTGTCATAATAAAAAAAAAATCTAGAAATCAATACATGATAAACTGAAATGTTCAGTGAATTTATGAGGGCAATGAAGACACTTAAAATTCCTGTTGCCCGAATGTAAAATGATACATAAAACTCACATTATCTCTGGGACTCATAGCTAGAGAAATCGACCCGGTGGTTATAACAACAGATCCAGTGCTGTAAGCATCAGTCTTGTCATCTGTGAAATGGGAATAAAACTTAACTTCACATACTGCTGAGTGGATCAGATGGGATACTGAGTATGTGGGCTATGTTGGGCTGGCACCTTTGCTAGGACCCTAGACAATCAAATACTCAGGGGAAGACTGAAGGTAGGTCTCATCAGTGCCTAGGAACAAGATCAAGCAGCTGAGAAGAGGGTGCCACCTTTCTCTGGGTACTACCATATCTGCTGGGCATTCCTGTTCAAGCTCTGCCCTGTATCCTCTACTAACAGTTATTGATATGGAGTCATGACAAAGCCCCTCTGATTCCCTATCATCCCTAGAGGGCCAAAGCCCCTACTTGACTGCAATAGGAGTGTGGATAAAGCCTCTCCCAGCCTCAACGTTGTGCTACTCAGGTGGTATTGTCCCACAGCTGTTTGGGCTATCCTGGATTCCATAGTTCTTAGTATAGGCATTACCACTTTTAGTTCATTTTATATTTGCTTATAGTTTGTTTTCTCTTCAGAGGACTCGGATATTTGGGGTACACTGGGGGCTGTCCTGAGACTAATCTATGGACCAGACAATGAATGGTGATTTGAATTGAACACTACACCACAGTACCCCAAGGAAACCATACATAAATTTACATATCTTTCTTTTTTAAGATTTTATTTATTTATTTGATATAGAGAGGGAGAAAGCACAAGTACGCAGAGTGGCAGGCAGAGGGAGAGAGAGAAGCAGGCTTCCCACCAAGCAGAGAGCCAGACTGGGGCTCAGATCCCAGGACTCTGGGATTATGACTTGATCTGAAGGCAGATGAAGGCAGATGCTTAACTGACTGGGCCACTCAGGCACCCCAATTTATATACCTTTCTTAGTGTGAATTTTCTAAAGTACCTTGGCTGGCTTGCCATACAAAATCAAGGGACCTGTCTACACGTAATCACAGAAGGTTACACAACTGAGTTTCAAGCTGAAAATATCCCTTTCCATTGCAAGCCAATTCCAACTGAAAAGGGTAATAGTGCTCTTAAAAATATTAACTTGATGTTAGGCATTTTATTTAACCCACTAGTATTTTCCTTTATCAAAGCACTTTCTTATTCATCCTGATATACCTTACACTGTCCTTGACACATATACTTAATAAATTATGACTGAATCAGGATCCTTGAATTTAGAGGATAATTGTTCATGGATTAGAAGACTCAATAAAGTTAATATGGTAATTCTCTCCAAAATTGATCTATAAATTCAATGCCATCCCAATAGAAATCTCAGCAAACTGGGATTCTAAATTACATGGAAAAGCAAAGGACATAAGATAGCCAAAATATATTGAAAATGAAGAAGAGGGATCCCTGGGTGGCGCAGCGGTTTAGCGCCTGTCTTTGGCCCAGGGCGCGATCCTGGAGACCCGGGATCGAATCCCACGTCGGGCTCCCGGTGCATGGAGCCTACTTCTCCTTCTGCCTGTGTCTCTGCCTCTCTCTCTCTCTCATTCTGTGTGACTATCATAAATAAATAAAAATTAAAAAAAATATTTAAAAAAAAAAAAGAAAATGAAGAAGAAAGTTGGGGGACTCACTGCCTGACTTTAACTATAAAGCTACAGTAATCAAGACTGTGTAGTAGGGACCCCTGGATGGCGCAGCGGTTTAGCGCCTGCCTTTGGCCCAGGGTGCGATCCTGGAGATCCGGGATCGAATCCCACGTCGGGCTCCCAGTGCATGGAGCCTGCTTCTCCCTCTGCCTGTGTCTCTGCCTCTCTCTCTCTCACTGTGTGCCTATCATAAATAAATAAAAAATAAAAAAAGACTGTGTAGTATTGGCATAAGGATAGACAGATAGATCAATGGAATAAAACAGACATTCCAGAAATAGGTGTACAGGTATATAATCAATTCATTTTTTTTAAAGATCCGAAAGTAATTTAATGGAGAAAAATAGACTTTTCAACAATGATTCTGGAACAATTAGATGTTGTTTTAGTTCTGGTGCATGGACTGTGTGACTTAAACAACACACATTTATTCCTCACAGTTCTGGAATCTGTGAAGTATAAGATCAAGGCACTAATGAATTTGGGGTCTGGTGAGGCCTGATTCCTGGTTCATAAAGAGATATATTGACATGACAAAAAGGGCAAAGGAGCTTTCTGGGGTCTCTTTTATAATAGAACTAATCCCATTCCTGACAGCTCCACCACATGGCCTAATCACTCCCCAAAGATCCCACCTCCAGATACCATTGGATGTTAGAATTTTTAACATATGAATTTTGGGATTATACATTCAGTCTATAGCCGACATCTATATAAAAAAAAGTACCCTTGCCTCACACCATATGCAAAATATGAATTCAAAATGGCTCATAAATCAAAATGCAAAAACAAAAATTATTAAAGCTTCATTTAAAAATAGTAAAAAATATGGAATAATCTGTAGTTGCAAAATAAAATATTGCTTATTTAATGTTGTAATGGTTTATATACTTTGGTATTATTTTTCTGCCACCACCTACTTAATAAGTTCCAGTTTTTCCTACTAAGAAATGGAAAAAATCAAACGCTAATGATAAAACATTTAAATGCAGACAATAAAACTTAAAATATTGGTAGAGGGGTGTCAAGCTGGCTAAGTCAGTGAAGCATGCAACTCTTGATCTTGGGATCCAGAGCCCAAGGGGTTGTGAATTCAAGCCCCACAATGAGTGTGGAGATTATGTAAAATATATTTTAAATAAAATATTGTTACAAAAATAGGAATAAAGGGGTTATCTTGGGTTAGGCAAACCTTTCATAAGAGGATGTAAGTGCTAACAAAAAAAGTTTATAAACTGGACCACATAAATACATATATTTTTAAAGATTTTTATGTATTTATTTGACAAAGAGTGCAAGCAAGCACAAACAGGGGAAGTCGCAGGCAAAGGGAGAGGGAGAAGCAGACGCCCCGTTGAGCAGGGAGCCTGATGTGGGGCACCATACCAGGACCCTGGGATCATGAGCCGAGCTGAAAGGCAAAACACTTAACCGACTGAGCCAACTTGGTGCCCCTGGACCACATAAATATTAAAATATTTTTAAACAACTCCTCAAAAGCCACCAAAATGTTAGGAAAATGAAATGACAAGCTTCCACTTGGAGGAAGATAATTGATAGAGTATCTGTCTTCAGAATATACAAAAAACTCTTACAATTCAGTAATAAGACAAATAACAAGAAAATAATACAATTTAAAAATAGCCAAAAGATTTGAATAGACACTTCACCAAAGAAAATATGAAGATGGCAAGTGATAAGATAAAATATATTCAACATTAATTTTCAGGGAAATGAAAATTAACACCATAATGAGGTATCACTACTCACCTATTGGAGTGGCTAAACTAAACAAAAACAAAAAACAAAATAAGCTGTTATTAAAACTTCCTAGCAAGGATATGGAGCAACTGAAATTCTCACTGTTGGTGGGAATACAAAATGGCATGGCCTGGGGAGCATGGCTGGCTCAAGGCAGTAGAGTATGGCACTCTTGATCTTGGGGTCATAAGTTTGAGCCCCATGTTGGCTCTAGAGTTTATTTTTTAAATTGAAAAAAAAATGGTATGGCCACTTTGGAAAAGTTTGGCAGCCATACATTTTTCCATATGACCCAGTAATCTCACTACTAGGTATTTACCTAAGAGAAATGAAAACTTTAGTAACTTTATTCATAAGAGCTCAAAACTGGAAACAATCCAGATATCCCCCAAATGGTGAATGGATAACAAGAAAAAAACTACTGGTTCATGCAAAAACATGAATGACTCAAATTCACCAGGCTAAGTGAAAGAAGCCAGGCCAAAAAAAGGCTATACTCTAGTTTGCTTCCATTTATAAGACATTCTGGAAAAAACAAAACTATAGAGACGGTAATCAGATTGATTCTCACATGTTTTTCTGGATGTTGTTCCTAGCTATAGGAACTTTAAGCCTTATCATTTGTCTCTTCTAGCTACATCCCCATCCCAAGGCCACCCAACACTCTTTAATACATTCTCTTTCTGCTTAAATTAGCCAGAGTTGCTTTCTGTAGCTTGTAACTAAGTAACTGAACATCTAATGCCTTGCATTCCCTCCATACAATTTTACTGAAATTTGTCTGAAATTCGAAGTTCTTTTTCTGTGATCAACTCACAAAATGATTAAGCCAAACTGTGCCCTCATTAAAAATTTTTGGGAAGGGGGCACTTGGGTGGCTCAGTCAGTTAAGTATCTGACTCTTGGTTTTGACTCAGGTCATGATCTCATGGATTGTGGGATCAAGCCTGGAGTGGGGCTCTTCACTCAGCGAGGGGTCTGCGTGAAAAATTCTCTCCCTCTTCCTCTCCCCCAAGCGCGTGCATGAATTCTCTTTTTCTCTCCCTCTCTAAAATTAAACAAATTTTAAAAGCTTCATTTCTAAAACATTTTTTTTTTGCTTTTGGTT